GGCTAATTAGGGAGTCTGTTGATCAGGGAGGACAGACACAAGAGAAGCCTACAGCATCTGAGCAGCAGGGAGCATTGCAGAAAGATGACTTGTGATGTAAGGTGCAATTCCCAAAAGAGCAGTTCTCTGTCAAGCTGTTGAGGGTGTTTGGTACTTTTCCAGAGGTGCAGATGTACTTGAGCAGTGGGAAGCTGAGCTAAAGCAAGTCCACCTTGCCTCCTGCTTCCCTACCACACAGCCTGTTTCTCCTGCATTTGCAGCACCAAGTGGTAGATGGCCTCATGCCTGTGCTGGGATCGTAGTCCCAGGCTTGGACTGGCACTGCCAGCAGCTGTGGTGCAGCTGAACAGGGCTGGGTGCCCCGTGGTCCTGTGCCATCCACATATATTTGCCACCACAGCAGAGCAGGCTCTGCCTGGGCTTCACTGGTGCTCAGTCTGAGTCACTGGGGTGAAAAGAAAAAAAACAACCACAAAAAAGCTGGTGGTTTGCAGCAAGGAATGGGAAGCTGGGAGTCCCTTCAGGAGAGTGTCACAGGAATGGAGATCAGCATCAAAAGTGCTGCTCGTTGTGTGGCTGCAGAGAAGGTGCTCAGCAGTCGTCTCAGGTGTTCGTCTGCTCCCACGCTGACAGATGAAGTGTCCATAAAAGCAAACCAGCTGCATTTAAATGGTGGCTGGCTGGTCTGAATGCTGCACACTCAGGTTTGAAAAGAAATTCCAGCTCGTTGCTGTGCTGACAAGCCACAGATGACAGCTGTGAACATGACACGCAGTTCAGTCTCCCAGCTGCCCATCCCGGTCTCTGCTCTGGGCTTGCCAGAAAGTTCCCTTCTCCCTGTCAGAAAGAGTAGGTAAAAATTAGAAACTGCTTTATTAGGACAATATCGCTGCTGTGCGACTGGGGAACCCTAAATCTAGTACAGTTAAAGTGCAGTCATTTCATAAGGGCCTCTTTAAGAGCTGTAGGTGCAGCTGTATTTCCCTGAGCCTTTTTGAAAGGGGTCATGAAAAAAAACAAAACAAGAATCATGAGCCAGCAACTGTGCTTTTGTTGGATGTCCTAAAGGGAGTGACAGAAAACACAGGGAGAGGCGGTTTTCATGGCAGGCAGCGTGTTCATGCTTCAGTAACTCAGAGCATCTGTTTGAGCTTTGCCTGCCATGATGGGTAAGGCAGAATGAGGAGATGTCATGTAATTAGGTTTCCATAAAGCACATGATATCAAACATTAATGAGCAAGGCAAAAACTCCCAGAAAATAAGGTGGTGTCATCCCAAACTGTTGCAGAGAGAGATTTCTTCTGAAGACCTGCAAAAGTAATCTGCAACTTGGGCATTTTGTGCTCTTTCACTGGAAGATGGTCTGCAGTGTTGGGAGAAATACCACTGAGTTTTTAGCTGGCTTTATAGAAAAAAGAGGGGTTTTGAGAGATTTTTGGATGAACTGTTACAGTGCTGCTGTTCTTTGATTTATTCTGGATGAGCAGCACAGGAGAAAAATAGAACCTTGTCTCTCAGCGGTTAATTTTCACAAATGTGAGTTTTTCCTAGCAGGAGCAAGAAGGTTTCAACACAGGCTATTGTTAAGCCTGCAAATGCCAAGTGTCTGCTCTTGGGAGATGGAGAACAAAGTTGGCACCAATAATTAGTGGCTGATTTGACAAAAGTTGCTGAAAATTAACAGCTGATGGAGAGGTCTTGGCATGATTTAGTAAAACACAGTGCAGTTGGAGACGACTTTTTTGATGTTACTGTGCAAAGTGCAGGGGTGACCAGAAGGAAGGTAGTACGGAAAATGTTAAGGAGGAATTTGGTGTCTTGTTCAGTTCTTGGAGTTTTTCTTTTGAGCTTTTCTAGCATATTGTTGGAGTACAATGATACAGCAAAGTTCCTGATGGAATCCAAGGAAGGTTGAGATACCAAAACACTACAAATTGCTCATTTACTACAGATGCAACTTTGTTTCGCTTCTTCTTTGGTAAGATATGGGTATTAATTCCATTTGGATGTAACAGTCATTTAGGAGCAAATTCACCATGGGCATAACACAGCATGGTCCAGCAAATCCAACAATTCATCATCCAAGGGACTGAGAGGCAGAGCAGCACCGTGGGATATGTGGTCAGGCGTGTGTGGAGGCATCCCTGCCTGTCCCGGGAGAACCTCTGGGAAAGGACACTTGGTGGGAAGTTGGGATGTGAACCAGAAATCTTGCAGCTACTGTTGAAAATGGTTTGAGCTGTGTTGGTGCTCTTGGGATGGTTCCAGTGCCAGCTGGAGCCAGCATGGCTTTCTCTCTGCTGGGAAGTGTTGGTACCTCAGAGGTACCAGTGCCCACTGGGCATGTTGTCTTGAGAGGGAAACACTTGAGGGGTGAAGCTAACTGAGGGTGTGGAGAATTTTTATGCTCCAAAGAAAATTAAAAGTGGCTGGTTGGCACCTACTGGCAGTGAGATGACTTCCAGGGAACTTCCTGATAACTTCTCCCAGGAGTTGGCAGGACTGTGAGGGCTATAGTGTGACAGTGATGAAGTGAGGAGCAAAGAGGGAGGACAGGCAGTTTTCACTGCAGGATGGTAGGATCACATTTTGCCTCTGGCTGATTTACTCACAGCAGGAATAAAGATACTGCACTCGGAGTTAGTTTGACTTTGACACATAAGGGAAAGAGATGAAAGCACAAAAGCTCAAGATACCTTGACAGCCAACCACTCACTCACCCAAATAGCAGCCCCCCAGCCAGCAGAGCTGCCCGTCTGCAATCTCAGTGCAGGGCTCAGGCTCTCCCCCCCATCCAGCTCTGCTGTTCTGCAATAGCAGCTCTGACAGCTTTGGCCTTGCTGCTGATTGCTGTAGCTTTTTGTGAGCAGCAGAGAGAGGACATGACCTGCAGGCCTTGCCAGCCTAGGCCTTCTTTTCTAGAGAGGATTTAAAGATTTATGGTCAAATTTTACAGGAACTGTGATTTGCCTTACAGATCATGAATATATGATTGCCCCACAGTCTCATAGCAAGTCCCCTGAGACTGCTGTGATGGCTCAGTCATTACTTCTGGGCTCTAGCAAGGAAATTTTAACACTTAAGTTTTCCTGGTGGAGTAAACCAAGAGACAGGGCTGGAGTTGGTTGCTTGGCCAGACCCATTCACCCTCCATGGTACACCTGGGAGTGACAGCTGGGTTCTGTATGGAGAGTGAATTTTCATGCTGAATTATAGATTCTGACCAGACTAATTTTGAAAACTTGTGGCTCCAGGAGCAGAAGCTGCTGAGAGCCTTGAGGCTGGCAATGAGAACATGGTGGTTGTGCTTATTAGCTGCATTAGATGCTGCTGTGCCGGGAGAAGGACATTGTGGCTCCGTGGGGATGCAGAACCACCACGTGTGACCTTCTCTCTGTCCAGTGAATGAGGGAAGCCCTGCCAGGGCAGTGTGGCGACCTGCAGCTGTGGGTCTCAGGACAAGCGTGTCCTTGAAGCTTGGTGGAGAAATGGTAAGGAGCTGTGTCTTTCAAGGACTGTCCTTTGACAGGAGGTCTCTCCTGGAGGCACAGAGACAAGCTGCTCACCACACAAGGCAGAGAGGCCCGGGGCAGTAAGGAACACTGCCTGGCGTGTGTCCTTCCTGGCAGCCGGAGGCTGTGCAGGTCAATATGTTACTGTCACCCCAGAGGGGAGCTGTGGGGACTCTGCTCAGGCTGCACATTGCCCAGGACCTGCTGACACAGCAGCCTGAGGCAGCAGATCTTCAGGCAAGAGCGCAGATGTTCCTGTAATGAGCCCAGTGATCTGGTGACTCATTCAGCCCTTCTCAAGCGGCCAGTTTTGATGTGAAAGCTTCAATAAATCACGATGGAGAATCCACTTTGATAGCATTTCCAGGAGTTGTTTCTTATTTCTGGTTGGAAGGTGATGGCTTTGGCCTCCTCCCTTTGCTTCCCACTGTATTTCTGTGAATGAAGCACTGGGAGCCTTTACTCAACCCACAGCCACCTCACTGCCTTTTCTCACCTCTCTGAGTGAGTCTTTCCTGATATGTGTTAAAATCAAGAGGTTCTTGGTGGGACATCCAGAGCTCTTGTAATGCAAATGATAGTAATGATACTAAAGCTAATAATTGTTATTCTTTAGAGTGAAATGTCAAGATTCCATATTTTCATGTTAATTTTTGGTAGGTAGGTACCACAATAATCATGTCCCATCCTGTCAGAGAATGTGCATTTCATATCACAGGGACTGTTAAAAATTGTTAATAATAAAGTAGCTACTGTTGTACCTGATGGGTTGGTCTTTGACATACAATAATGTAAAGTGACATGGCAAATTTGGAATGAAGGAGGAAAAACTGTTAAAAAAATTGTGAACGTAGCTATAAATTAATTAATCTCATATCTAAAATGTGGCACTGAGCTGTGATGATAAATAAGATCCATGTCACTACTGTTGGATTGCATGTGTGTATCTAGGAAAGGAGCTAAACGGTTGAATCCAGGGGACTGGTTTGTTACTACCTGCCTGGATAGAAAAAGACTATCTTGGCAACTGCACTTGCCTTGAAATAGGAGTCTGTGGGCAGCAAGATCAGATTTTGAAGTAGGGTGTCTATCTTTAATTGTTCTGAAATGTAGGCTACCCTGGGTAGCACAATACCCCTGAATAGTGTATTTTTGTTAGAAGTACTTTCAAGTAACAAGCATTTTACTGCAAACAGCTCCATTCTTCTCCTCAAAACATTGGCATGACCTTGTTGCCCTTTTGGGCATGTATTTATTACGCAGTATTACTTAGTAGAAAGCATTGCTTTTACTTTGCAAAGCAAAAACATTTTGGGTCACGTTTCTCTCTCATTTAGGTAATTTTTAATTGTCATTAAGCGAAACTAATGCCGTTACATAACACCCAGAACGTAACAAATGCTGCTACTTCAAATTCATACCAGCTTAGCTGAAACCTGAACCTGAGCCTCTCTTGGTTGATGACTTGTTTGTCTGTTTGATTCCAGCTGCTAACCTCACTAATTTGGATAATCTCGACAGCGCGTTGAGCCTTGTTGAAGACCAGGTGCACAGATCGAGGCAGCGCCACCGAAGGCACGCGACGGAGGACGATTACAACATTGAAGTCCTTCTGGGGGTTGATGACTCAGTTGTTCAGTTCCATGGCAAAGAACATGTTCAGAAGTACCTGCTGACCCTGATGAATATTGTGAGTACAACCCCGCGAACTGCCCTGTGGGAAGGCGCTGAGAGGACCGGGAATGTAGGTTGGGTTGGCCCATTTGAAGGAGACATGACAAATTTCTCTCGTGGCAGGAGGTAATAGGAGGGAAATCCAGGCTGCTTTCAAAAAATTCAGAAGGGGAGAAGAAAAAAAAAGAAAAAGGGACCAAGAAAGAAGCTGAGTATGGAACTGTTAAAATGTTCAAAGTCCCGCTTATGTGCTTTGGTGGGCTGGGGGCACAGGGTCAGGGGCTCAGGTTTTTGAAATTACATTTTAGCTGTATATTCCCTTAATCTGAGCTTCTTGCTGAGAAACATGGTTTGGACAACTGTCTTCAAATAAGGTTCTATTAGAAATTTCAATTTTTTTTTTCCACATTTTTAAAACTACTCAGGTAAATTCTTTGATTCCTCAACAGCCACTTTAGGTCCCAGGGCACTTCACTACTCCTTGTTCACCCCGCAGTAAAATGTTATGTAGTGTAACACTGAAATTTCTTAAATTGATTTAGTGTTTACTCCATGACTGACATCTTTAGGTTTCCTTAGTTAAATATTTAATCTTCTGAACCATAGTCTGTGCAATAGACTATATAGTGTAGTAGGGATGAAAGAATACACTAGAGAATATTATATTTGAAAGAACGACTTTTTATTTATAAACATGAGTGCAGCAGACACAGCAGCCCTCTACTATCCCACTCAGTAAGCAAGGACACTATTTTGTGGGAAAAGAATCAAGTCTTGAAAAATCATCCCTGTTACAGATCAAAGTCAAAATACATTTCCTTCTTCTGCCCAAAAAATAGAACTGAGTGGCAACCCCCTTCACAGGCAACTCATTTGGGGATAACTTTCTTCCTTCTCATCTGGAACAGGAGTCTTTTCTCAAAAAAACATCCAAAAAAACTTCAGGTTCAGTGAATGTGTGTTCTCAGTGAAATAGTGTTGAGTAAAAAATTGTAGGTCTGCTCTGTTTTTGACAAATGGAGTCTGACTGCTTAAGTTTGCAGTCATGTCAAGAGGATGAGCATGTAGGTGGCTCCTTTGGCTTTACAAACCACAGAAGCAGAAATCCAGGCTATTAGGTACATTTGCCTGCGGTGTAGTTTTTCCAAGATGTATTTTTTTAATTATGAAGTTTATTTTTTTCTTTCTTTATTACATTCTTATAGCAATGTGCAGAATATCGCTGTTTTTCACTTTAAATGAGAGGTGGAATACGATTTAAGAAAATCCCTTGTCTGATATAAATTCAGTTGCACCAACTCTTTATAACAGCATTATAAATAGTTAAAAACCTGCACTAACATTTGAGTTATGGGGTCCTTGGTGTCTGCTCTGATGGCGGTAAATACATATATTCTAACAGAAATGACACAGTGAATTTCATTTATTTGTGTGGTTTGTTTCCTCTGAGGCTTAAAACAAAGTCTACAGTGAAACAGATGGTTTTATGCATCTCTAAATTAACAAGCCAAACAGGCCAAACCAGGAATGTGGCAAACAGGCCAAAATAGATTAAACATGACTCTTTACTTATCATGTCACTTAAATCTATTTTTAAGAATTAAAATATACAGTAATGGTAAAGAAGCCATAAATGTTCCAGCTCTGGAATATACTTCTTCCTAATTTTAGTAAACCATCCAACACACAAATTGCAAGAAATAACAACTCTTAAGCATGCTGTCTCTGCAAGTGGTTTAGAAAGTGCAGCCTGTGTAACTGTACCCACAGGGCACAGCAGCTCTTGGCATAGGCAACAATTGTTCTGTTGAGAGCTCTGAGGTAGAAACGTGTCTTTTGGGGACTGAGGATGTATCCCATGCCTTGTGCCCAAATTTGAGGAGCTGTTTGAAATCCCCAAGGCCTCTTGAGGAGGCTCTGGATGGTCTTTGGCAGTCATCAGTGCTGCCCTGTTCTTCCCTTCTTCAAAACTCAGCTGGTTTCTAGAGTCTGTATTTGAGCAGAGGGATTGGGTGATGGTAACCAGTCCTGTTTCCAGCTCCAGTATAGAGGGGCAAGAGGGGTTTGTTACCACAGATACCAGGCAGTGCTGGGGACCATTTAATGTTTCTAATGAAATGTGTAGGTCCAAGGTCACTCAAAAAGAAGAGACAGCTACAAAAAATTCCAGCTGTATTTTTAAATCTGGTGGAAGATCCTTCCATAACCATCAGATTGTGTGTTTCTTGCTGATTTTAGGATGTAATCAATTAGCTTCCTACAGCAACAAGGCATTCAGCATAGAATCAATTAGCTTTGTACAGTAACAAGGTGGTAAGCATAAAATCAAGAATGCACGGTAACTGAATAAAATAGTAGTGAAAGTATTTACTGGAGATAAGAGGATGATCAAATAGTTGAATTTCTGAGGTTCCAGAAATGAGATAAATCCCAGGTGAATTCTCCCTCCTGGGACACAACATCACTTTTCCAGAAGCAACTCCCAGCACAGCTGCTTCTCCCCACTTTGCTTGATTTCCTTCTGAGTGATGGCACAAGCAGTTGTCCTTAACTAACTTCTCCCAGGAATCTTGGGTGGAACCCTACCACCAACCCAATCAAAACAATTTATTTTTCTTTTCAAGCCCAGTGCAACGACTGTAAATTCAGTAAAATCTGTTTTGCGCTGCTTAAGTGATGTGTTACAGTCCACACCTAAAAGCCACGAAGTGAGAAAAAACCCAGGGGCTGGGTGTCCTGGCTATCTTGAATAGCTGCGCTAATATTTATCCCAAAGTTTGGAAATGAAGTCACTCCCAAACAAATGGTGATAGACGCCAGAGCATTTTTAACATGTTGGGCTGCAGCCACGCATCCCCTGACTGCGCGCCAGCCGTTCCACTGCAGTGAGCTCGGCCTCGTGCCACCGCCTTTCCATCCTCCAGTCATTTCCTCATACAAAAACTCTGGTTTCTCTTGACCTCCTCTCTTTTCTCTGCTCAACACCCATGGGACATTCAGTCCACCTTTGGAAAATATTCCACTGTTTTCTCTTAAGAGACCCTCGGCTGCCTCTCGCTCGCACCATTTTCAGTTGTACGTCATGCTGTGTTTTTTCCTGGGAAGGATATTAGCCTGCACAGTCCTCTGCACTTCCAAGCGTGAGCCCACACATTGCACAAATTAACTTTGTATTTATAGCACGCAGGAGCATTGCCACAGAGGAGAGGGATTTGGGTGGAAACTTGTAGCTCTGTAGTTACTCAAGAAACATGGAAGGTAATTCGATTTCTGCAAGAAGGCGTCTCAAAACCCCAGGGATTTTATCTGGTTCTACGAGTGTTTGGGAAATATTGGAAAAGTGCAAGGCATCGGAGAAGTGCCATCTTGTTCCTTAGGAAACGAAAGGATTTCACTGCAGGATGCTTTGAGAGGAGGAGCAGGGAGCTGAGTGGATGTCATTGAGCTAAATGGTTTGGACGGGTGCACCAATCACAGGGTAAAAAAACTGGCTGGATGGTCAAGTCCAAAGAGTGGTGGTGAATGGAACTAAATCCAGTTAGTGGCCAGTCAAAAGGGGTGTTCCCCAGGGCTCAGTACTGGGGCCAGCACTGTTTAATATCCTTATCAATGATCTGGAGGGATTTAGATGATGTGTGGATGTGGCACTTGGGGACACGGTTTAGTGGTGGCCTTGGCAGTGCTGGGTTGATGGCTGGACCTGATGATATTAGAGGTCTTTTCCAACCTAAACTATTCTGTGAGTCAAAGGTGGGTGTTGTTGGTAGCCAGTCCCAGTGCTGAAATTCTCTGATCATTTCATAACCCTCTTGAACAGAGATTCCAGGATTAAGCAGGACATTTGCTGCCTGCTGTGGAAGAGCAGCAGACCTGAGACCCCCTCATTTACCAGGCTGGGCCTGCACTATTGACTGCTGCGACTATTTCAGCTGCTACAATCCTGTGTTTAGGGTCACATCCAGTTTGGATATCTTCAAAACTTCCTGAAGAGGTAGAATATGTGATCTTACAATATTTTGGCCATTCCAAATAGCAAAGTCTCATCAAATAAGCTCAAATGCAAATGGTTTTTTGCGTGTATTGGCTTCATCTGTCTTGACTTCAAGTCTTCCACTTTCATGCCCCTCTTCAAATGGTGGGTTTTTTCCCAGTCAGGCCCCTGTTTTAGCTCTTTCTTGTATCCTTTGTCTTTCTTCCTCCACAATATTCCTCAATTTCTCAACTACCTCATTTTCTAATGCTGGCAATTGTCATCCTTGTCTATTTTTTAGAAGAATTTGTCTACAAAGTAGGTATATTTTTTATCTTTGGACAATTTTCAGGAGTAAAAATCTTTCATTTCTTTTCCATTCCCTTACTGTAAAAGATGTGATATTGCAATATTTATATATATTCATGTAATGGATATGTGGCCAAAATATTTGTGATACAAACTCTATCTCCTCAAACTAGGTGGGTGCATACTTGCTGTTATTTCCAAGGCAGAGAGACCCTAAATAGGATTTATGCCTCACTCAGGGCTAGATTTATCTGAGTATTTAGTCATTTACCTGTTTTTGAAATTAGTGAGAATCAGTTTTAAAGATTAGCCTATGGGTTTATGTATCTCCCGGCCTTCAAGTGAAACTTCAGCTCCAGAATAAATACATTAAATACCTTTTCATTTGAATAACTGAAATCAATGGGAGTTATGCAGCTGGGGGCTTTGGAAAGTCCCTGGAGTCTTTCACCTGCATCTTTCAGCACTACATATGTCTTTGAAATTGTGGCCCTGAGGCGCTGTTGAATATGTTATCTGTCCTCTTTAATAGGATGTACATGATACTACTATTATAGATGAGGTTTCTGCTTTCGTTTCTCTGGCTGATGAGGGATGAAGATTTGCAGGTACAGAACAGCAAGTCCCTAATGAGAGGAGAGGGCAGAAATGCCATCGGTTTTCTAACTGGCAGTTGGATAAAAACCTGAAAGCATGTCTAATTCAAGCTGTTAAAAAGAAAGTGATGATTGAATACA